TCAGCTTTAGTATACGAAGAAACTGAGGAATAAAAACGCGAAAAACAGCTTGGCGATATCTATTACCACACCTGCTCCTTGTTGGGTTGATCTGTAGCAGCAGCTGTAGCAGTTGTAGTGCCTGCAGAATCACCAGCAGCACCTGTGCCCTCCCCCTGTGAAGGCTCGGCTGTCAAAGCCTCAATCGCAGAGATTTTATTTGCAAGTTGATCCTTAAGCACCGCTAACTGTTGTCGAAACTGATCCTCTGACGGCATCAACCCATCTGTATCAGGAATGAACAGTACAGTCGTGTCTACTCGATCTTTCTCCGCTCGATAATAATGTAACTGGGCCATCTTGTACCTGTGTGTAGTAGTGGTGTGCAATGTGTCGGTTTACAGGTATTACCTGCCTCCGCATCCAACAAATTAAAATTTTGCGCTAATTTACTAAAGATAACAAAAAATAATCCGAAATGTCCCATCGAGTTACATTACAACTACTGCTTTCCATATCTTCAAAAACAATTCGTCGTAAAGCTCTCCGGTTCGTCGCCATAAGTATGTTATTAAAAAGATTAAATTACTGAGATACTTTTGTGTTTACCAGTATAACTTATATTCTGGAACAAAAAAATCAAACGTTTTTAAAACAAACTCGAAATCATTATCGAGGTAATCTGGTACCCTACCATGCCAGAATCTCCATGACTAGTAAAAATGTTAAACTTCTTGGACTTTATGCTCAACCTCAAAAGCAAAAATTCCCCTTGAAATGTTGTTTCCGCAGTCCCGAATTAGAAAAAAAATTAGGAAGGAAATAATAAATCTGCTCTCGCCCTAAAAAATATTTTTACAACAGACATACCAGCGAGAACACTTGGAAAGATCAATCCCAGTTAATGCAAGGACCGTCCTTATGGCAGTTCGTATAAGAACTTCAGGATCAGACTCAGGATCTTTACCATCCAGTGATGGCGACCATAAACCACCAAGTGCCATTAACTCACCCTTACCACGTGTCCCTTCAAGCAAGATTAGAGACAAAGAATCAACATAAGGAAAACTACCGACAGGTCTTCAACAGTCTTTCAGTTATGCTGCCTAAAGCAAAACTGAGATATATCGATAAACTGAACATACCAACGAGGAAACTAATGCATCGAGACAGCGGTATCGGATCTGCACCCTCATCGATGGTTCCGTCCGCTAGCAAGCCGAAAGCTTTCTGGTGAACTGATGCAAGACCACTATGAGTTAATAAAATCACCTAAATATAAAGTAATAATACTACATCATTATGTCATAATTATAAGCAAACTGTAGCAAAAACAGAATTTTTACACCAGCTTATCTTGAAGTAAAAGAGTCAGAAAGCATTCGACAGATTAAAGTTTGAACTAAGTTAGAATTTCGCACTTTAGAACTGTATCTTGGATCCGCATCGGGAGCAAAAAGTGGTGGCAGCTTCGTATCTGGACAGTCAATTTCTTTGTGAAGAACGTTGAAGGAAATTGGAGTCACTGATATTGACAACGGACACATGACTGGCGTCGTCACCGGCCAGTCTATGACTGCTTCTGTGAAATCTGACGGAATATAAAGAGATGGATAACGCCGCCGCAGCTGAACAACACTCTGTCTAGTAGCTTCACTGAAATAAAAAACATACATGGAACTAGGATTAACAATACCCTCACATTAACGTTAACAACCTTACTGCTTCCAAATATAAGCTCAAATAGTATCTAAAGAACATACTCAAACATTCCAAAGGGTGCTTTAGGCATGTAACACTGATATCTGGGAATTATACGTGCCCGACGACGAGGAGGAGATATACTGTCACGCGAAAGCCCTTCATGTTTCGCAGATGGAGATTTGTTTCGAACCGAACCACTTGGCGACCGTTCTCTCTTCATACCTTCATGCTTTCTAGCAGGCGTACCATGCTTAGGAGAAGGTGCACGACCAGTTCTCGTAACATCTCCACGGGCAGGGCTTCTGGAAGACGTAGCTAGCAATGAAAAACTATGTAGCCCTTAAAAAATTTCAGATGTTGAGGAGTCACAAAAGCTTAGATTGAACCTTTTTGGCGGTGAAGACCGCCTAGGAGCATTCCTTATTGGTGAAACTCTTCGCAGAGGACTGGACCGACGCGGACCGGCGCTTCCAGGAGGGCCTCCTCTTATAGGTGAACGACGACGCCCAGGAGGTGGGACGGGTGATCTTGCTCTCGGCCCTGGGATGAAGTAAATAAACAAGGAAAAAAAAAATCGATAAAAATGATCAAATCTATTCACCTCGACTATCACGTTGATGAATTTCATTCATATGGGACAACGAGCCAGAATTTGGCCCTTTGTCAGACCAATTCTGTCCCATCAGCGGACCTCTAGGCGATGGCAGTTGTCTGCCCCTCATATCTCCTTGTGGATGTCCGTGTGGTCCACTCTGTGAACCTGTTTTTTCATTTCCAATCAGCTGGACACGGAATGCATTCCATTTAAAAGGCATAGCTGGATTGTACTGCGCTTCAACCATAACTCGATCGCCTGCTCTTGGCAATGCCCCACGCACAACGCTAAAGCGAAAAAAAAA